AAAAAAAAAAAAAAACCTTTGCCAAGTGTGTTCTAAGAACAGTGCCTGATCCCCAGCACTACTTAGAGAGAAGTGAACTAGCTCAAAAAATAGCTGTTTGCTGTCTGTTCCTGGCCAATTTCTCTGAGGTTCAAGGGATTGGTGAATGCTATTAGTCTACCTTCTTAACCTTGTTTTTTTGAGATACTGTCTTGCTTTGTAGCTGTCCTTAAACTGGTGATCTTCCTGCACTTGCCTTTGTAGTGCAGGAGTTACAATGTGTACCATCACACCTGGCTGTTTAGGAAAAACATACCTGTGAAAAATATTGATCTATAAATTAGGCACAGGAAGAGGTAAATACAATAAATAATAATAGTGATACAGGTTTTTAAAGCTTAGGAATTATTTCTGGAATTTTCCATTTAATGTCCTCAGCCTGTGGTTGACCGTAGATAACCAATACCATTGAAATTGAAACTACATAAGGGAGGACTGCTGTATCTGGATAAGCAGAACAAAAGTATCACCCCACAGGGCACGGAGAGTAGATCTTTCCCTGTCTTCCCTGCCTCTGAACTACTGTGCAGAGATCAGGCTTGAAAGAACAAGAGCAGGCCACTGAACAATAGACCACAGATATGGGTGTCAGTTCAGAAAAGTAAGACTAAGGGAACACAAGCAAGGAGCTCTTGAAATACATATAAAAAAAGAGAGCTGTCTTTAATGGGAAAATCAGAACAGTCCAGCAGACAAAATAGAGAAATCAAGAGAACCAGAAATCAGTAGAAGTTAGAAAAAACAAAATAGAATAAAGGCATTATGATGAGGGTCCAGAGAAAATAAATAAGAGAACTAAGAAGCAAGGACTTCCTGAAAGATGTGAGCAAGCAGCTCAGAGCACCACACTCCAGGATGGGAAGGCTGTGGCCAGAACACTGCACCCCACTCTTGCCGTAGGTGATGTTTCTCTCTCTCTCTCTCTCTCTCTCTCTGTGTCTCTGTCTGTCTCTCCATGTCTCTGCCTTTTTCTCTGTCTGTCTCACTCTCTCACACTGGTACTAGATTTTGAACTGAGAGCCTTACACTTGCTAGGCAGATGCTCTGCCACTTGACCATGTCCCCAGACCTTTTTAGCTTTAGTCATTTTTCAGATAGCGTATTGTGGTTTTGTGCCTAGGCTGGCCTTGCACTACAACCCTCCCACCTACACCTTCCAAGTAGCTGGGATCATAGGCATGTGGCATCTTTTCAAGGGCATTTTTCCCTATGAGCATTTGCAGTTTTGACTATTTTTTTTAAAGAGTTATTTCAAAGGAAATGAGAAAAACCCATTTCCTTGTCTTAAGTAAAGCAGAGCACAGATTCTTCAAAGCCCTTACATTCTGGAATTACACTGAGAATTTTGCACCCTTTCCATTGCTAGAGGCCCCTCTGTGGGGTTTTGCTCCTGTTGTTAGGACAGCCCCCATGTATGATTTTCATTCCTCTTTGCGCTCTGCTTCTGTGAGAGGCCTGTCTACAGACACTGTCAGCGTGAGGGACAGCACCAGGGACATCCCGGGAGCCGTGTTAACTGTGTTTGGTACATAGCCCATAGCATCTGCCCTCAAGGTGTTCTTCCCAGTTATGCAGGAGGATCCTAGTTCAGTCTTTCTGAGACTCCATGGCTCTGTCTGTCCTGCAAGACAACATAGGAAAGTAAAAAACTCAGTCTGTTTACATGTCCCCAAATTAGTGACACTGAGCAAAACCTGATTGTAACATTTTCAGACTCTGGGCAAGCTGTGTTCTAGCCTGTGTGTAGATTAGAACTCCAGTTCATGGTTTTTAGTATTAGTCTTAGATACACCGGGCCAAGAGCCTGTTGGGGGAAACATTTTAGTTTGGTTTGGCTGTGATGTGCAGAAATGAGGACTTGTTGGTGAGGCAAGCAGCCTGTTAGCACCTACCAACACAGCTCAGCAGATCAGACTTTGCAGCTTGTGTCTTCGCATCCCTTCCTGACCAGGGTAAAAGGTGAGACTTGCTACACATAATCACTCTTGACATGGTAGTGGTTTTTAAAGTGCTTTATATAGCAAAACTGATCAAGTCAGAATCAAAGCAATAATGAAGACCATTCTTTCTGTATTATCAAAAATAAGCCAAAGTCACCAACTAAAACTTTGTTTCTTATGGCATTTACTTTCATTCATTGTGATTTCTGGGAAATGAGTGAAAACATTCTTATTGAAAGAATTGTGAATTGCTTTCCATCGGCTCCCTCAACCTATGCAGACTGGAGTCTATTCACAGGAGACAAGCAAAAGGAAACAGTGGCTGTTATTCAAAGGCCACTTGGTCTAGACTGTTGGTGTACAAATAAGGGATTATTTTGTCAGCCCGCATTTTGGAGTTGCATGTCACATGATTGCAATTAACTTTGCATTTTGCAGTGATTACAACAACATCAAGGCAGCCTATGAGGCCATGAAGAACGTGGCCTGCTTGATCAATGAGCGAAAGCGTAAGCTGGAGAGCATCGACAAGATCGCTCGCTGGCAGGTGTCCATCGTGGGCTGGGAGGTGAGTGGGACTCTCTCTCTCTCTCTCTCTCTCTCTCTCTCTCTCTCACACACACACACACATACACACTTAGTGCCACACACCCCTCCTGACCCTTGACCTAGCGATGGCCTGTGTTAACATGCTGATTGATACTGTGCAGTCTTGGCTTCAATTGTGTACATGCTACACATGGCCTGGTATCTGGAGACATGTTGTTGCATTTTACCACCAGCTACTTTAAACCTCACTCCCATGAAGAGCGAAATCTGAAGAGTGTCCGTAATTAATTGATCTCATGGCCTCTGGCTCCCCTGACACGGAAAGTAAGTGAGCTTTCCATCCATTACCTGCCCCCCGCCCCCACTCCGCCCAAGGGGCCAAGGGGGCCAGTGCACAGGTAGTCACAGGGCACAGTGGTAGGAATATACGGTACATTTCATTCCTATATAACGTGGGAAAATTAGTTAGTGGTTTTTGTTTGTTTGTTTAATCTTTAAGTTGCGGAAGAAACTATTACCTACCTCAGGCTACTGTGAGCATTATGTAATCCAGTACAAATACATCACGTGACAGAGCCCACAAAAATGGCCCAGCAGATACACTCCCTGTTACCTGTTTACACACACACTCATACGGTGACAAGAGATAGTGCCTGCATTGTTTACCACACATCTGGCACCATCGTCACCCCCATTTAATGATGAAGAAAATGAAGAACAGAAAGGGTAAGTAGGTTGCCCAAAGCCACATAGTGAGAAAGTGGCAGATCTGGCTTTGAACCCAGGCAGGCAGCTTGACTTCACAGTCTGTACTGGTCTCTTCTGTGCTCAACCCCTGCTAATCTTGACTGCGTGGTAGTTGGACTAAGTAAGATCTGCCCTGCTTCCTCCTGGGAGAGTCAGAACTGACTTTCTGAGAAGAGCAAGCAGGTTTGGAGTGAGAAGTTAGGATTTTTGTTGAAATAGATCATAGCAGTGAAAGATGGAGAGAAATGCTTATTTTTCAAGAGCTGTGTAGACTTGGGAAGCTTGGAAAGACCCCAGATCACCAAATCTGACCACTTATTTTGTAAGTGAAGAATGTAGGACACAGAATTGCTTCGGGCAAATAAATAGAAGAAATATTTTGAAGTCAAGCTTTTTTGGCTTCCAAAACATACCGTGTATGACTGGGATTAAAGAATAAAATCTTATAAAACGAAGGCAAATGTTATACCAAATGCCATAAAGTGACATTGGATTAGATCCAAGCTAAATATTATAAAAGTGTATTTTCAGGCTGTAGACACAGCTCAGGTGGCAGAGCGCCTGCCTAACCAGCTCAAAGCCCTGTGTTAAATCCCAGTTACCTCCACCCCCGCAAAAAAAAAAAAATTTTTTTTTTAAAGTGTGCTTTTTCTTTCCAATTTCAGACTCTAAGGAGATCGGTTAGAGAGCTAGTGTGCTAATTTCTTGCTGGCAGTTTGCTGCCTGGCCTTTTGTTTCCAAGATCTCAAACTAGTTGTTCCAGGGAGCTGCTACACACCTGGCTCAAGCCACAGACTTGGTACTGTGTCTAGTACATTAAGACCTCTTTGATGCCTCCTTATTCATAGAAGACCAGTCTTCATCAGAGACTACAGATCTTGGCTAGATTTAGCATGGTTCTCACCAGAGGGTTAGGCTAGGTAATACAGAGGTACTGTAGGAAATAAAAGAGAGACATCTTATGGCCAGGGAAACCAGGAAACTGAGGTTACAATGGCCTTTGAGGCTCTGCCCACCTGTGTGTGGGGGCAGGCAATAGACAGTCTAAAGGACTGTGCCCAGGTCATTGACGCCAAAAGGAATCTGAATTGGAAGATGTAACGTGTGCTTTCATCCTTCTAGGGACTGGACCTTCTGGACCGGAGCTCGGAGCTGATTCACTCTGGGGAGCTGACCAAAATCACTAGGCAAGGCAAGAGCCAGCAGCGAACCTTCTTTCTGTTTGACCACCAGCTGGTGGCCTGCAAGAAGGACCTGCTGCGCAGGGACATGCTCTACTACAAGGGCCGTACGGACATGGACGAGATGGAGCTCGTGGACGTGGAGGATGGGCGGGACAAGGACTGGAACCTCAGTGTGAGAAATGCCTTCAAGCTCGTCAGCAGGACTACAGATGAGGTTCATCTGTTCTGTGCCAAAAAACAAGAAGACAAGGCCAGGTGGCTGCAGGCCTGTGCAGAGGAGAGGCAGCGGGTGCAGGAGGACCAGCAGATGGGTGAGCAGCCCTCGGCCATGGGAAAAGAGAAAAAAAACAAATCCCAAACATGTTCATAAGACAGACCATGGCAGATGTCACTAGCACAAGCAACACATATTCCTTATTTACTCTGAGCCTAGTCATAGTAACTCTACATCTGCTGCACCGTGTAGAGACTGTCTCCATAGATTCCTAGGGTGTGGTTTCTGTCAAACCCATTTTACTGGTGAGGAAATTGAACCATAAGGAACTAGACCCTGTTAAGACCAGCTCAGGTGACTCTGGATCACACCACACTTTACTGACTGTCCCCCAGGTGAGTCTCGAGGCCTCCTCTTCCACAGTGCCTTGCAAAGCACTTCGAATTCCCCTCGCTGCCCTGGTCAGTTCACACTTAATTCTGCCTACGTATTCCCCACTTTTCATACCTTGAACCACGTGCCATGCATTATAGTCAGAGCAATGTCCCTGTACTTAGTAGTACACTTGTATAGGCTGTGCATCCGTCTCTAATCGGAAAAGCTGAGCTCCCCATGCTTCAAAATCTGGAACTGGCTGAGCACCAATATGATGTCACAAGTGGAAAATTCCACACCTGACTCATGAGTGAGGGGTCCCAGATGGAATGCAGGTGCACTGAACATACAGTATAAAATTCCCTGCAGACTGTGTGTTTAAGGTGTACATGAAACGTAACTGAGTTTTATGTTTAGACATTGATCTCATCCCCAAGATATCAAAAAGTCTAAAATCAGTCTGAAGCATGACACACTTCTGGTTCAAAGTGTTTCAGATGAGGGATCTTCAACCTGAACCTCTGCCTCACCATCCAGCTTCTGCTGGCCCTGGCATTGCATGATGCTGTAGGACTGAAGCTGCCCCAAGGCAGTGGCAGTGGCAGTGACAGTGACAGTAATGGCACCCATGGCCTGCAAGCCTGAGTTCCAGAGCCTCCCAAACAAATTAGGGTTGTGAACACCAGCTGTCCAATGGGAGATGGAGGTTGGATGAGAGACACTGGTCTGTGCAGCCCACCTTGGCCCATGTGCTCCAGGACGGTGGGGCAGGCATAGCCCCTGTCCTTCCCTCACTGTGGGAGGAAACAAGGAACCATACTGTACCTGTCAGCCCAGTGTTGCCTGTATTCAGCCAGCACCTCGAGGCTTGGGCTGGGTTTTACTAATGCCCACGGGAGGTTTCACTGGCCTGTGTTAGAGCTGAAGGGATTTACAAGTCTGTTAGGCTGGGCTGCATCAGAAGCAAGAGTCTCCTGAGATGACTGCCAGGGCATGACCTCGCCTCACAGGGGACTCCTTCCTCCCCTAGTTGGGTGTCCTTTGGACTCAGAGGAAACCTGACTCCCAGCAACTGGCCCTGTGCAGTGAGCTTATCACCCTGCCCTCCAGAGTTCTTCAGATAGGTGCAAGTGACAGTTAACAAAATGCAAAGTGACAGAACCACCAAATCCCCAGTTGACCTGTCACTCCATGTTGTCTGGTACAGGCCTTGAACTCACCTGTGAGTTGGAGTGTTTGGATTTGGATTTCCACAAGAGAGGACATCCTAAAGTCTCTTCAGCTGTCCTTCAACGTAGAAGGAAGGAAGGGCAGGCCTGGTGATGGGGAATGAGCAAGGCCTAGGGGTCTGGAAACTGGAAGGGTGTGGGTGAAGTGGGCCCCAGGCCCTTGCCTGGAAGAGGATGCCAGTCTCAATAACTGGCACTCTAGGTGGGCAGACCCTGGAGACAGTTTCATGAACCAGGCTGGAGAGGGCCAAGCCCAGGCTGGCCAGGTTGGGCCCAGGAGGAAGAAGATGTCAAGGGAACAGGGCATGGAGTTCACAGGAGACATCAAGACCGTTCAGGGACAGACTCTAGGCAAACACAGGAACCAAGGCCAGGGAACAGAGCACACAGAGGTGCACAGTGGGGCTCAGGCAGTGACTCAGGTCAAGTGAGGAGTGGAACAGAGAACAGTCAGCCTGCCACAGTAGAGCAGGTGCTCCTCACCTGCAGGAGGCCAGCCAGCACCAGCCAGCACCAGCCATAGCCACTGCTCGTTTGTCCTTCCTCCTCTCCAAAGCTGAAAGGCTTTCTCGTCCCCGGTTTTCCCAGCATGGCTCATTTTCCCCTAGTTTGCCCACTATATACAGACAGCATCCATCCCAGTCCCTCCAATACCAAACTATGCTGGGGCAAGTTCAGGGCACACACTGCTCACAGCTGGGGTACAGAGTCCACTCGCAGTCCTCAGGCAGAACCTTTGTGTAAATAGAATCACAACCCCCAGAACTCCCATCACATGCAGGGGAGCAGGCCTGGGGTCCCTTTGCTATGCTTTCTCCATACTGGGATTGGGGCTTTCCAGCTGCAATTAGGGTGACTTTGTGCCCAGAAGTGCCAGCTCTATACAAGAGTCTGCATGTCATTAGCAACAGCACTCCATTTCACTCTTTTAAACGTCCAGGCTTAACATCGGGCATGATGGTACATGCCTGTAATCTCAATACTTGGGAGGCAGATAGAGGAGGAATTTGAGGCCAACCTGAGCTATATAGCAAAACACTGTCTCAAAAAACGAATGAACAAACATACATAAATACATGAATGAGTGAATCAATGGATGAATGAGCAAGCAATCCTGGTTTAGAGGATAACTGTGAGGTGTGCCTGTGTCAGCTTCTTCCACTTCTTTCCTGTCTTTCCATCTCTCCTCGGGTTCTTTGCTACAGGTTGCAGCAAACACCGCAGCACCAGTGTGAGCCGTGGTTCAGGGTTTGTTCTGGAATATGTCTGGTGTGTGTTCTGAATCTAGTTCACATCTGTTTCTAAATCCAGGAATGGAAATTCCAGAAAATCAAAAGAAACTCGCCATGTTAAATGCTCAGAAGGCAGGACAAGGCAAGTCCAAAGGTAAGGAGTGGAGAAGCCTTCGTCTTCCTAGCCTGGGTCACATGGTGACAGTATTGGGAGGAGAAGCCAGTGGGGAAGAACAGACCCAAAGTCACGAGTCGCTAGAGAATTTGGGTCTGGTTTTAAAGGTGGAAACACACCTCTCTGAGGTGGTGCCAGGGGGCTGCAGACCTCCCAGCTCTGCCAGGACCCTCATGGTGTTACCACTGGGCCACCGGGTCACCAGTCTGAGGTAAAGCAGGGACTGTCACATTCTTGGGGTCTCCATCCCCAAATTGCTTGGCAACCATAGCCTGCACCTGGTTTAGGTACAGTGATCTCCAGGTCCCATGCATCAGACAATGAGGGAAACAAAAAGAAGTCAGTGGGGCTTTCTGGGAGAGTGAGTCCCCAGGCCACACACAGATATCTCCACAGCACAGATAATACAAATGACCTAGCCCTCCAGAGGTTCAGTAACATGGGTTTTGCTTTTGTTTCTTTTTTGTTTTTTTCTGAGGTGGGGATTCATTTTGTAGTCTAGACTGGCCTCATGCACTGTCCTCCTGCCTCGGCCTCCTAAGTACTGGGATTACAGACCTGCACCACCACCCCTGGCTTCAATAACGATTTTATTCCAAGAAACTTTATTCAGATGGACTTTTCCATTCTGGGAGGAAATTCTATGAAATTTGTCCCTTTCAGTATCTTCCTAACTGGAAATGCAGAGGCAAGAACCATTCAAGCCCAGAACTGTGTTGAGAGGCCCCCAGCTAATGGACCAAGAAAAGGTCATTACCAAATGACACATTCCCCCTTTCTTGGTGCAAATGCAATTTTTTTTTGGCCTTACTAAGTAAAAAGTATCTTCAAGACATTTTGTTTTATTTTTTGTGAGTCTACTTTTAATGGCAGAAGACTAGTAAATATGAGTTTGTTGGAATTCTCTAGCTTGTCTGTATTGAGTCACTCACTGTGCAGCCAGGCTCTGAAAGAATGGGAAGACACTACCATTTAGGCATTGGTCGCATTGGGCCCTCTCCCTGGGTCATCCTCTGTCTCCCTTAGGATGAGGAGAGCCTGTGTGAGGGACAGACTTGAACTGCATCCTATCATCTTTCAAAGCTCTGGCAGGCGCTCTATCACTTGAGCCACTCTATCAGCCCTTTTTTGTGCTGGGTTTTTTCAAGATAGGCTCTTGAACTATTTGCCTGGGCCGGGCTTCGAACCCTGATCCTCCTGATCTCTGCCTCCTTAGTAGCTAGGATTACGGGGTAAGCCCCCAGCACCTGGCTCATGATATCATGTTGACTTATATGGTTCCCTTTGCTCTTAAGGCTGATTGTAATTCCCTGTGTGCAGATTTAAAATGCCTTCTCTAACGAAACCATTCTGATTAATATCATACAGTGTGGGACGCTCTTCTAAGCGCTTTACCTACACTCATTTAATTCTTATGACAAGTGGGTACTGTCACCTTCATTTTTGAGACTTGGGAACTAAGGCACAGAGAGATCAAAGAATTTCCCCCACACACATAATTCCACCGTGTGTGTGGCCATGAGGGACTTGGAGGCTAGGGGAGCTGCAGGCCCTGTTGAAAGCATCTCACTGTTTCTCACCTCCTGGCAGTGCAGTTCTAATTCCTGTGTGGACAGACGCTGTGCAGCACGGATGATTCACACAGTCTGTGTCTCGCTTCCCTTCCGTGGAGGGTTTTGGGTAGATTCAGGTTCTGAATGCAGCAGGTGTCTGAAGGTGGTGTTTCTTAGGACGGCCGTGAGGGAACTTCAGTCCTGGCATGTTGGTTTCCTTTGTGGCTGTTGAGTGACTCATTGCATTTTTTCTCCCCTCCTGAGTTAGGCTACAGTGGATGCCCCGTGGCCCCACCCCACCAGAACCTGCCACCCCTGCACCAGCGCCACGTCACCGTGCCCACCAGCGTCCCCCAGCAGCAGGTCTTTGCCCTGGCTGAGCCCAAGAGGAAGCCCTCTCTCTTCTGGCACACCTTCCACAAACTGGCCCCCTTCAGGAAGTGAGGCCGCCCTAGGCACGGCGAGGAGGACATGTGTGTTTCTTGGGCTTTTGGGGATCGATGAAGGAGGGAAGGAGTTGGCTTCATCTTCACCCCAGAGATCCTTTATGGGGTGGAGGAGAGAGCTCAGCACACATGGCTTCATCCTACACAGGGAAACCAGGAGCTCTCTGAGGGGCTGGGACCTGGGAGCCAAGGTCACGCTCTCCAGGGAACCCTGACAACAGGGACCAGCATACTCCTGCTGTGCTTTCAGTCAGAGCGCCAAGACCTTCCTGTCCCTAAGGGATAACTTGTTTGAGGACAGTCTCTGCATTTGACTTTGAAGGATGCGTGGGAGGGGAGGGGAGGGGAAGGCAGGGGAAGGCAGGGTATACTCCCTCATTAGGTCTGGTCACCCCTAGAAGGTGAGCCCTTACCCCTTCTGTAGCCTTCAGGGAGGTGGCCATGGTGTTCCCTGATGTCACCTCTGTCCACACAGGTGCCAAACAGCAGTGTGAGCTGCATCCTTCACGGTTCCTCTCACCAGGAGAGACATGATACAGCAGGCACCTGCAGCACTGCTTTGCGAGGGGGGGTGGGGTGGAGGGCTGCAAGCTGCTTTGTCCTCGAGTGCCTTTTATGGGTAGCGCCTTGAGCAAAGGTCACATTTTGCTCTTTCATCGCAGCCTGAGAGACTGATGCCATCACACGGCTTGGAATATGAAGGCTCTTTTAGTTCGGTTTGGGCAATGTGAAGAAGCACTGGTCAGAAAAATTCTTAAGAGCATCCCTGCACAGTTTGCAGTGGTTGTTTCTAACTTCCAGCCAGCGATGCAACAAAGATGGACATCCCATGGAGAAAACAAGGGCAAAGCTTCCTGGGGATCTGCAACTGCCTTTCTCTTCTGACCTGAAACCAGTAGTGCATGGCTGTGCTAGCCAGCAAGCCAGCGGCTCCTGAAGACTCTTTCCTTAAGAAGCAGCCTTAGCAGAATCCCCAGGCCTGCAGGCCACCCAGGCTGATCGGTGCAGCTGGTCCTCTCCCTATCCTTGTCTGTGATGTAAAGTGTGATGGAAGTTACTGCATTTTAATCCACTCAGTACACTGCAGGGGGTATTATGTTACACAACTTGTGGGTTTCCCTTTAGAAACTCCTGTGTGCTACAGAGTGCTTTCTTCTCTCATAGGCCTGTGCTTAAGAATAAACCAGTCTGTGAGGTCAAAGACAAAGGGGGCAGTTCCCCAATATTCAGAGCTACTCCTGAAGGAAGTGATGTCATACATGAGGAAAACATCACTCTGGACTCCTTCTGGTGGGCCCTTGGGGCATTCTGTGGCTATTCCTGACCCTGCCAGGGGTACCTTTGAGTTTACTTAAAAGCAGCATTGCTGGGAGGTCATGTAGCCAAAAGCCCAGGGCTGCTGCTGTGGACTCCTGAACACCCCCATGCTGCACCCCACCCTGACAGAAGAGGTGCTGTGGCCTCAGGCACAAAAGCGTGTGTGTGTGTGTGTGTGTGTGTGTGTGTGTGTGTTGTGTGTGTGTCCTTGTTCCATTTATATAAAAGCGTGTGTGTGTGTCCTTGTTCCATTTATATAACTGACGTTTTTACTAACAAAATGTAATGATATATTTTGGAAACTATTTAACATGCTTTTCTGTGCTAGAGTTTTACTACAATAATTGGAACAATTTTTGTTGTTTTAATACAAGACAGTTGCTCTAAGGAAATGAGGAGAATGTTTGCTTGCTACATTTTCAGTGAGGACCAGTTCAAGTAGACGTCACATAGAGAGAGGGTTTCCATCAGCGAGTGTTTACTGGTGGACAGTGAAGAAATGCTTTCTGTTTTGTTAAGGTAATTCCCAGCCGGGCCCTAAATTCCAGTTCCCACCTACCTCCATGGACTTCCTGACAGAGGATCATGAACATCGGGGCACATTTTTATTGCATCAAGTTCAAAACCCTGGATTTCCCCAGTTTTATATAGTGTAAGAATCACTGGATCAAATGTCTGTCATGGGTAGATCCTTCTTGGATTTTGAAAACTAATGTATGTTTTAAAAGCTAGAACATCCTTTGACTTTATGTCTGTTTTGGATTTTGCTACTAAATGCCTGGGTTCTTAGTAAGAAGGCTTCAAGTATTCTTATTTTCAGTTTGCCAGGCTTCCTTCTTGATTTAAGTCACATGTTCACCAGAAAAAAATCAACAAAAAGTTTCTTACCTAAATTCTGTGTGAATTTCATTGGGAAAATCCAATCCTCCCCCCTTCCCCTCTCTCTTCTCTCTCTCTCTCTCTCTCTCTCTCTCTCTCTGTCACACACACACACACGCACACGCACACACACATACACACACACACCCTGTGAGTGGACCAAAAGGAAAAAAGAAAGATAATTGAAGATTTTGATGAATTTCATTTGTCCTATCTTTAATGTTGCAGAATTGCCAGCCCTATTGAGAGACAGTTGAAGTGACCTTGGGTCAAAAGCAGCCTTCTCTTTGCTGATCATGACTGAAGTGTGTAACAGCCCTAAAGTCTATGATGGTAGTTATAAGCAAAATCTGAAGAATCCTAGAAAAATAACATTCCTTGTCTCTGGCCCTGCAAACTGAAAAGAGGGAGTTGGGCAGTTTGCTAGGATGGCTGTGTTCATCAGATGTGAATTTCGTTTTCTGCTGCTGGGTGGGACGCTGTGGTTGAAAACATGTTGACACCATCTCACATCATTTCTGAATCATGTGGTGCCTTTTTAGACCCAGTTGCAGTTTAGTACCATAGACATTGCTGTTGGCTAGACACAAAGCAAAAGTGCATTCAATTCAGAATTCAGTTCACACTGGAAATCATCAGTCCAAGTCAGGTGAGCTGGCCTTTGGCCGGCTGGGAAGCTCTGCTCCGCAGGTGTAAAGTCGCTGATACTCCTCAGCACAACCTGGGTCAACCTTGGCTCCCACCAGAGAGAGCAGCCTGCGTACTGGAGCTGCACCAGGGGTTTTGCATGGTTTTGTCAAGGAGAGAAGCAGCAGAAGTGTCCCTTGGAGTTCGGTGCCAGTAAACATGAATCAATGTCCTTTCTGTGGCTTACAGGCCAAGATACTGGACCCAGCTTCTGGCTTTGACCGCTGGCAAAGTTTTCCCTGTTGCACACTTAATCCACAAATTGTTCTCTCTCATGCTGCTTTTCAGGGAGCAGCGGAAGTAGAGGTGAAAAGACTGGGCACAGTAAGTGGAAACTTGTAGCTGGTGTGTGTGTTGAGGGGGTACACCCAGGCTCCCACACATTTTATGTAAGTTTACTTAGCTACAAGATGCTGTTCATCGTTGCCTTTACGTGTCTCATAGGCATTGACATTTATATTTAGAAAATACTTCGAATTGATTCTGTAACTTAATAATTGGTCATTTTGTACATATTAGTACCTATAGTGTGTGACTCGCTTCCTGCTTTGCGAGGCTTCTGGTGAACTTTTCGTTTATCCACATGAAGGTGTCTGTATAAAGGAAATGACACTTCTCACCCGGTGAATTACCTTTGACAGCCAAAGTAGGCTCTATAAGAGATGTATTTTTGTTGACTAAAGTTTTTTGTAAAAAAAATATTTACAACATTATTTGGATAGTTTCTGTAAATGCTGTGAATCTGTACTTGTCATTTTGTATCTGTATATTAAAATTCATTTGCCAGACTGGTTCTAGTATTGCATTTCCATAGTAAAATGGGATAGCGACAGTATGACAAAGGAAAGCCTGGGAGTGCAGGGACAGTGGGATTTGCACACCGTCCTGCCCTGTGTTGCTGGGCTGACTGATCCCAGAAGCAGCCATCCAGGGATAGGCCGGATTAAAGCACAGGTGGGTGTGTGTGCAGCAAGGCCCTAGGGAAACTGAGACGATCACCACACGTTCCATGAAGTCCTTCTGGGGCTTTTTTTTTTTTTTTTACTTCTGCTGCTAGGGAAGGGTCCAGGGGCTTCCCACAGGCTAGGCAGGCCCTCCACCCTGAGCAACATCTCCAGCCGTGGATATCTCAGTTTGTAGTCACAGCTTTGGTCCTGGATGGTGGGGGGTGGGTGACCAGAACATGCATGAGTCTATGAGGACATAGATTGGGGCTGTCCCTCGCTAGGAGGTATACCCTCCTGCCCTAGCTGCCCTTACCCTTTGTGGTGGGGCAGATAAGAATTTCCTTCTGTAATTAGCAGCCTGGACAAGCTCAGTAAATAGCCCATTGTTTGCTGAGACTAATAAGAAAAGGGCTCCTGTGTGTTGCCAAGGCCACGCCTTGTTTTTGTTTGTGTACTCCTAAGTGACCACCAGCTTTCAGGGAGCCCAGCCCCCTCCTTGGGCTGGACTGGGGAGGCTCTGCTTGGGTGGAAGTCGGCGACACCAGGATGGTGGCCCAAGATGACTCCATATGTAGACGTGAAGAGCGGTGTTCAGTTGTGGGAGGATTGGGGGAAGTGAGCTCAGTGATGCTAGCTGCCTACCCCACACACCGAGGACACCAGCTCCTCCAGAGGAGCAGGAGTGGTGGGGAGACAGGCACACAGTGACTTTGGGGAATGGGGCCCTTTCCCCTGGTGAGTAGCCAGGCCAGGGAACCTGACTCCTGAGAGGGCTTCCCTGCAGGGTCCTGGGGAGAGGAGCCCATGGGGCTCAGCCAAGCCTGGCAGGGCCTGCGCCGAGACGAAGCTGGAATTGAAGTGAGACTAGAGTAGTGAGTAGAAGCCAAGTGATCCACTGGCTCGTGGTGGCATTTGGGATTTCCTAAAGTGGTCAGAGTTCCAGGCAGGCTGTGGTCAGTGTTGCCTAAATTGGGAGCTGGTCTGGTTGCAGTGGAGAGACCGGGTTTCAAATCCAAGACAGAGGATCACTTGGGAGACAATCACTTGGTCAGGAGGACAGGAGTGCAGGCTGCTCAGCTGTCCCAGCAAGTCTCAGACAGGGTGGGAGGAGGGACTAGTGACCATCACTAGTGGGGTCACTGGTAATCCCAGCACTTGGGAGGCTGGGGCTGAAGATCATGAGTTCTAGGCCAGTCTGGGCTACCCTGTCAAAGACAAGGAGGGAGAGAGAAATTACGGCCAGTGGAGAGTAGAGTTGGGGTGTCGCTAGCTCTGCTGAGCGGAGGCTTTCAGGCACCCACAGATCCCACTCCCTACAGAGATCTTGGCACCTGTCAGAACAGAGTAGGGGCCCTTTGTCCTGTTGAAACCGTGTTTTAAGTCTCACTAAGCACTTGGTAGGAAAGGGTAAAGAGGCAGGGGCATGAGGTGGTGGGCACAGTCCTCACCCACCTGAATGCCTAAAGTCTAAAGGAACCCCACGGACGTGTGCAGGCCCAGATGACCAAGGGACCAAGATCTAGCAGAGGTCGTGATTCCAAACCATGCAGCATCCGAATGACACGGCCACTACTACAATCTTCATTTTCGTCCTGTTGCCCAGGATTGACCCAAAGCCCCCTGAGAAGCCCTCAGGCACAAGCATCACATGACGAGGGGAAGTCACGGAGGGGATTCCTTCCTCCAGACTCCACCTGGAGGGACACCTTGAGTTTCCTCGTTTCATTTTAAAAAGACAAATTTTTTTTCTTAAAGGAACCAAGTGTTTGACACTACATGGTGCGGGTAGAGGATGCAACCTGACTGTGCAGCTGATTCCTGAAGCCCTTCCAAGACACTCGTGCCTCCGTTGTCCCCTCCCCTTCCTGCTGTTTTGCAGTTACACCCACCAGACAACAGTAGGGCAGGAAGGCGCGGTTTTCCTCAGTTTGCCCTGATTCCTGATTTGCACAGCACCAGGGTCCACAGTACGGCGTGCAGGTAAGCTGATTGGGAAGGGGTTCAGCTTAAGGTGTCTGGGTCCTAAAACGTCCCTGTGCTACCCATGTGGGAGAAGCCTGCCTTGGCAACCCTAAGTCCGTGTCTTACAAAGCTTTGGGGAGGGAAGGGGATAAGCTGATTCCACAGTTCATTTTTTTTGTGCCATTTGTTTTATTATTATTATTAATGTGACATATATCACAGTTGAATTTACCTCCTCCATCACTCTCCTTTATCCCACCTACCCCATTCCTGGAATAGTTTCAACAGTTCTCATTTCTCCATTTTCATACATGAGTACATATTTCCACCACATTCGCCCTCCTGCACCCTTTCCCCATATCCTCTGCCCTCTCACTGATACCAACACCCCAGGCAGGACCTGTTTCTTCTTGAGGAAAAGAGAAAAGCCAGTGTTCAGTTTCCTTTTTGAGAGCTGCAAGGCAGCCATGAGGGGGTTGAAACTGGAGAATAAACCATAGGAGTGGCAGAACTTTCAGAGAGCTGCATGCAGAAGCGTGCAGATTATTCTGCACAAATTTTCAAGTGTGTGTTTTTATGACTACGCTAATTTATACAGTGTAGTGAAGAAAACCTCTTGTGTTGAAGAAGAAAACCATGAAGTGCACAAAATACAAAGCATATGGAAGAAAATGCATTCAATAAAGGCAGGTGAGGGGTAGTTGTGTTTTCAGGCTGCAGGGTGGAGGTGGTATGCATTGCGTGCACAAAGAAGCTGAGCCTCAGAAGACATTGCTCAGCAAGTCGGGCATGGTGGTTATATCTGTAATCCCAGCACTCAGGAGGCAGAGGCAAGAGAATCGAGTTTGAGGTCAGCCCGGGTGCTGGTGACTCACGCCTGTAATCCTTGCTACTCAGGAGGCAGAGAGGGTCGAGGTTTGAAGCCAGCCCAGACAAATAGTTCAAGAGACCCTGGCTCAAAAATATGCAACACAAAAAAAGGACTGGTGGAGTGACCTCAAGTGGTAGAGCATCTGCCTAGCCTGCATAAGCCCAAGTTCTGCCAAAAAGACAAAAAAAAAAAAAAATGTGAGCTACATAGTGAGTGCAAGGCTACAAAGCAGGACCCCATCTCAAAACAAACACACGGACAGCTTTCTTAGGCGCTTGTTTCCCACCACTGCACTTCTAGCATGAGGTGCTTTTTGCCTCTCCAAAATTTTCCCTACTTTTATCTTGTTATATTAAAATAAATTCTTGCTAAAACTAAAAAAACAAAAAAGGTGGCTCAGCTGATTCCTGGCAGATCTGCATTAAATTTTAATATTTGGGGAGAAGTAAGAAGGTTGAAGAGTAGAAATTCTTAACCTTGGCTATGACTTTGAGAAAATCAGGAAGGGACCCTGGGCAGGCCTTCATTGAGAGATTCTGAAGGGAAGGGGGAGCAGGGCATAACCTAAGTCAGAACCACATTCTTGGGGATCCAACACCTCCCAAGGTGACACTTGTAGTCTGTCCCCTTCTCTCACCAAGCCAGAAAGTCAGTTTCTGCTCTCAGCAGCCACATGGGCCTCTCCATCTGTCTAAGGCAGGGGTGGCACCTGAGGGGCGTGTGCCCAGTGTCCTCGGCCTCCCGCCCCTTGGGCTGACTGGCTACTGTCCACAGCCTCACTTCTGAGGAGCGGCCACACTTGGAGCAGCAGACATCTTGCAGTAGTCAGGGTGTGGGCTTAGCGGTGTGGCCTCGCACCCCAAATGACTTCAGCAAGTTGCATATGGATTTCTCTCCTGTCATAGCTGGGCTGGGAAGGCAGGGCTGGTCTATGGAGTCACTAAGACACTGGGATTTTTCTGACTCCAAACAGTTGCCCTCCCCAAGGGGGCCATTATGGCCCATCACCCTGTGCACACAGTTAGGACTAGGGACATATTCATTCATTCATTCAACAAACATTTGTCTTGAGGTACTAAAAATAAGTGGAAAGACTGTCACTACCTTCAAAAGCCCTTAGTCCTGAGAGAGAGACAGACAGGCAGACACTGATCTTAGGGAAAGATGGGAGACCTAGAAGGCCCTGGCCCTAGGCTCCTGAAGGAAAAGCAGACATAGAATTCAAAGTTGACGTGATTGCCAAGGCTGAGCTAGTGACACTGAGCACAACCCCCGGCTTTGCGAGGGGCCACAGTGTCATTTTTTTCAAAGTACCTTAATCTAATTTCTGCTCTATTCCTTGTACAAGTCCTCAGTAACATCACGTCTTCACTGCTATTTAAATCCCACGTGGGGAAGACTGTGTGCACACTAAGCTAAGCCTGGGTCATCAGGATGCAGAACATGCTCTCCTACTTGTGCCAGCATGAGTGAAAGAGTTACAGAAGGATGAATGAAAGCTCTTCTCAGGTGGAGGACAGAATGGAGCCTGTCCCCACCTGGCCACCTTCATGATCTTGTGATCTTTCTGTCACTCCAATAACCTGTAGTGAGGAGTGGAAAGGAAAATTGTACAACCCCCAACAAAGGGTGGCTGGTGGACTTAGGTTTCCCTGCTAACTTCTTAGTTGAACAGAAGAAGCAGCTGTGGACGGATTTGACTCAGAATGCTCAGCAATCTCCGCAAGGGAGTAAGCTGTGACTGAAGGGAAACACCTGCATCCTTTTCTAAAACGCTTTTTGCACTTGGCTGTGCCCTGTGATATTGCCACAAGAGGGCAATAGAGTCCCATGGATGACAGAGTCTGGATGGGTTTTAAAAATACCAGAAAAAAAAATTATCTAGAAATATGTGAAAAGTGTACAAAAAGCGGTTTTTAAACAGAAAAACTTCCCACCACCCCACTATCCTAAATAAACCATGCTCATTTGTATACACTTACTTCCAGTTTCTGTCCATATGCAGATGGACAATAGATATCTTCATGAAGTGCATGACATTTTGGTCTTTATTGTTTATTTTTTGATACAAGGTCTCACTGTGTACCCCAGGCTGGCCTTGAACTCAAGATCCTCTTGCCTCAGCCTCTTGAGCGCTGGAATTATAGGAGTGAACCACCAGTCCTGACTTAGTCTACTTTTAAAATTTAACACTACAGATACCTTTTAAATATTTCACCTGACCTCCATCACCCTTCAGCAGCTCGACACTACTCTACTTCTTGTCACTCCCCTGTCACATGCTTGGCACTGTGCATGTCCTCACTGTCACAGACGATGATGTCGTTGCTTGGCACGGAAGTCTTGGGTGATGAGGAAGAATTGTGGTGACTGTTCCCAGCACATGGGGGTACACTAACCCATGTGTTTGTTTTCTTCGGTTAGTTTCTTAAGTCCTAAAATATCTAGCAGGACACAGTCATTGCATTTGGCAAACATTGTTCATCGTGCTGCTCAGAGTTTGACACCGGGTACTGAGGGGAGCTGGATTCTTTGTCCTATGACCACATAATCAAATGGGTACCACACCCTACCGGGGGACTGGGCTTGAATCAGGAGGCCAGTCCTCGGGATTGGCATTTGCTGATCCCTTTACTCACTCAGCTCTCAGCTGTGACCTGACCTTGCATTGTCTTAGTCCCTGCTGAGGTTGGCAAGCAGATGGAAGGCCTGAGTGGGGACAGTGCTTATGGAGGAAAGGACTTGAAAACATGCTTCTCCAAACCATGTGACCCTGTGCTCCCTTCTTTATCGTGTCCCTCTGTGAAAACAAGACCTTCATTCAAAGATAATCTCTAGTCCCAGAAGGACTGCTTGGCATCTTCGCTGTTGTTTATTTAATTTTTTTATTGTGGTACAATAGGTATAAGGTAAGATTCCCCAGTGCAAGCATTTGAGATGCACAGTCAGGGATTCAGTACTTGCACATTTTGTACAGCCGTCAGCACCATGCAGCTCAGAGCGTTTGCATCTTCTCAGACTGAAACTGTCCCCAGAACTCACTGGCTCACCGCGCCCCCTTCAGCTCCACTTACTCTGTGTGTGGCTCCTTTACGTAGGAGCTGTCTTTCTTAGCATGATGTCCTCAAGCTGCATCCACATAGCATGGATTAGATTTCCCTTCCTTTTAGGGCTGAATAATATCACATTGCATGTGCAGGCCACCTCGCGTGGACCTATTCATCCACTGATGGACACTTGCGTTGTCCCCACCTCTTGGCTGCTGTGGGCATCCTGCTAGGGACACAAGTGCCCGGTCAAGTCCAAATACCCAAAAAGTGGAGCTGCAGATCAGGCAGAAACTGTGCTTGCTTCACCAGTACAGTGTGCGTTCTCACGGACCTTGTGGTCAGAGCTGGTCTTTGCATCAGCCCTGCCACGTAAGGAAGCCTTCTTCTCTGGCTCAAGAAAGGGGCTCACCCAAATCAAGACACTACGTAAGGGCATCCTGATCCCAAGCCTGCAGTCCACATTCGTTCAGTAAGAGTGGTTCCGGCCCCACGTGTTACCTTCTGAAGACAACGTCCTTCTTTTTTCTCTTTCTTTTCCTTCTCTTCCTTTCCCTCTCCCTCCCTTCTTTCATGCCTTTCTTCTTGTTGCTTTGCTTTGTTTTGCTTGGTTTGGGACAGGGTCTCACTATGCAGCTCAGGCCTGGAACTCATGATCCTCTTGCTTCTGCCTTCCAAGTGACAGTGTCCTTCTGACTGTAGCCAGCATGGTCAGCTACCAGCCCTGACCACTCCGCCCCAGTCTGACTGGGTGCGGCCCCTGGCCCAGTGACAAAGGTTTTTGCTTCCCTCTTTCAGTTCGGACTCCATCGTCTGACCATGAAGGTCTGGTGGCTCCTGCTTGCCATGGGAGTTTGTGTGGGACGCGTGAACTCCCAGGACACATGCCAGCAAGGGCACCCTGGCATCCCTGGGAGTCCCGGTCACAATGGTCTGCCCGGAAGAGATGGACGGGATGGAGCAAAGGGTGACAAAGGCGACACAGGTACTCAACCCCCCACACACACTTTGCCTCTGCTGCCTTCATTTCCTACTTCACCCCTTCACCTCTCTACTCACTCACCACCGTGTGGCCATCCACCCATGTGCAGGGCGGGTAGCGTATACAGCATGGATACACTGGACAAAGAGTGACTCCCATCCCAGAGGGACAGAGTGGGAAAGCAGGAGAGTTTTCTTCACATGACTCAGAATGACATGCTATTTAAAACTTATACTTATTTCTGGAATTTTCTATTTAATGTTTTGAACCAAAGTTGACCCTGGGTAACTAAAATTGTACAAAAGTGAAACAGCACTAAGGGGAGACTACTAGGACTGGTGGAGTGGCTCAAGTTGTAGAGTGACCACCTAGAAAGTGTGAGGCCCTGAGTTCAAACCCCAGTACCACCAAAAAAAAAAACCCAACATGTGATGGGCAGAACCTCATTCACATGGCCTTCCCTTGGGGCCTCTCATGACAGCTTGATCAGTGACACTCATCACTACTCTAGGATACCAGAAACATCCCTCTAGAGTCTGCTTTTCCATCCGCAATGATCACATCACCATAGTTAACTGCTTTCATGGTAGCTAATAAACTTCCACTCCGCTCTCTGCATGAGTGATGTGAGAAGGACCAGCATGAGAGAGGTGTTTGGATAGATGCAGCCTGAGTCCTCATCACAGGAGACGTGTGCAGCTATGAACAGCAGCTTCTCCACTCCAGGCACACCCCCTTCTCTGCCTGCCTTGCTGATAGGAGCACCCTCAGTGTTTGGGAATTCACCTGGTTCATTTCACAACTCATCTCTACCAGCTCAACACCTTGCATGCTTGGCCACATCTGACTCTCCCACCTGCACCTGTGGGAGGGAAGCAGTACCAGTGAGGTCTGGGGTCATCCCCAGGACCCTCCATCACCCATGGAGACTGAAGGCCAGCAAGATTGGAATGGGAATTTCAACTCTTGTCTGTTTTCTTCTTTACCACCTAGGAGAACCAGGACATCCTGGGGAACCAGGGAAGGATGGAATGAGTGGAGAAAAAGGAGAACGAGGTCAGCAGTTGGCTCTCATATGAACTTGAACTGTCAAAGGCTGGCAACAGTTGTTAAGGGCTTCTCTGGAATCCTGTCTGGGGCTCTGAGGATCAACCAACAACCACAACTCATTCTTGTCCTACAGAAGCTCACGATGAGTGCAGGAGTCAGAAGACTTTCTGGAAAGAGCCAGATAGTATTTTCAGCTTTGTAGGCCAGGCAAGCTCCATCACCACAACGCAACAAGCCACTATACCAAGAAGCAGCCATATAAGCTCTATAAATGTGTGGCTGCATCCCATTGAGGCTGTGGGGGTGAAGGGTGACAGTTGAACTTCGCAGTTTTCACATATCGTGGTGTAAACCATTCTTAGCTCGTGAGAGGCACAACCACTGGCTGGAGGGCAGGTTTGGCTGTCAGACACAGTGTGCCGAGCCCTGACTTGTGGCTGAGCACTGAGGTGGGAGAATTGATCTGGGCTCAGGGCATCTGGCCCCACTGCATGGAGGGGGTGGCACTTGAGTTGGGACCTGGGCTGCAGGAAGATCCTGGTGGCGGATGCTTGCCTAGCATGACCTGGGTAGGGAAGACCCTGGCACCACAACTGATGGGGAGAGAGATGACCACAATGTCAAACCAGTACATATCCTTCTGTGTGCCATTCTGAGGCTTTTTATATATTACTCTGTGAGTACACCAGCCCTATAAACTAGTGACGCTACTGTCCCAGTTCTGTAGAGGAGAGAGCAGAGAGATGGGGGCCAATTAGCTGTCCTTGTGTCCATGGCCACGGGGGTGCAGTTCAAGTCTAGAAGCTACGTTCACCACCACTGCTCTGGGATCTGGGCGGAATAGACAGTGGAGCGCTGAATGCTTTTGCAGAATGAGAAGCACAGTAAGTTTGGTGAGATGGCGGTCAGGCTGGACAGCGGGAGAGACCCACGCCTCACTGGAGACTTGCCCTGGGATCTCCAGTGGGGAGGTTTTGAGGGGCTGTTCCATCCCTTGCTGAGCATGAACTAAGGAGCCTGAGTCAACCTGCCTCGTGTTGTTCCCTGCTCTGGAGTTTCCCACAAGGTCAGCTTTGCTTCCTGGTCAACATGGTCAACTTAGACAGTAACGAGGTATCATCTCTCACAGGAGCCCAACACTGACTCAGGAGTCAGAGTCTGTGTCTGCATGTGACAAACGCTTCTGTGCATGGAACTTGAGAGTGCCTAAGCTGTGTGCGGTCTTGTCCCAGCTACACCCTCAGTGACAGAAAAACCAAAGCTGCTCACGAGAGGACATTTCATAAACCACTTCTTTATTCTCTTCCTGTTTAGGAGCAGATGGAAAAGTCGAAGCGAAAGGCGCCAAAGGTGATCCAGGCTCCCGAGGATCCCCAGGGAAGCATGGGCCAAAGGGATCTACTGGTGCCACGGGAGAGCAAGGGCTCAGAGGAGAACCTGGCCCTCAAGGGCACAAGGGGAGCAAGGGGGACATGGGTCCCCGTGGTCCAGAAGGTCAAACAGGCCATGCTGGACCTCTGGGCCCCAGCGGCTTACCTGGCCCTATTGGCCCCATTGGCAAGCCAGGTCCCAAGGGAGAAGCTGGACCCATGGGGCCCCAGGGTGAGCCAGGAGCCCGAGGAATACGAGGCTGGAAAGGGGATCGAGGAGAAAAAGGGAAAATTGGTGAGACTCCTGCCTTGCCAAAAAGTGCTTTCACAGTGGGGCTCACGGTGCTGAGCAAGTTCCCCCCACCGGATGCGCCCATTCGATTTGATAAGATCCTGTACAACGAATTCAACCATTACAACATAACCACAGGGAAATTCACTTGCCACATTGCCGGGGTCTATTACTTCACCTACCACGTCACTGTTTTCTCCAGGAACGTGCAGGTATCTTTGGTCAAAAATGGGGTGAAAATCCTGCACACCAAGGATGGTTACATGAGTTCTGAGGACCAGGCCTCCGGGGGTATTGTCCTGGAGCTGAAGCTTGGGGATGAGGTGTGGATGCAGGTGACGGGAGGGGAGAGGTTCAATGGCTTGTTTGCGGATCAGGATGATGACACCACGTTCACAGGCTTCCTCTTGTTCAGCAGCTCCTGATGGAGGCTTTACACATCTGCCTTGCCAACTGGCAGAATTAGCCTGGGGAAGAAGAAATTTGGTGGTTTTTTTTTTTATAGTGATGCTGGGGTTTGAACTCGCGGTTTCACACTTGCTAGATGACTTGGTGATTTGACTGTATTAATTCCTTCAATTATTGCAATAATCCAAAAAAGGTGAAAATGGGAGCGTTACTCCTAGAGTTGTTTCTGTATAACTTACAGTCTTTTTCCAAGAGTAAAACTTCAGTTGCTCTGCTAATTGTAAGTTTTTCTTTTCGCAGTTCTGGGGATGGAAGCTGAGGCACCTCCCCTGCCTGACTGTTACAATTCACTTAAAACTTCTCATCATGGTTACTGAGGAACCCTTTGCAGGAGTGTTTCTTTTGGGAGGAGAGCTCTACTATTACTTTAGTGCTCAAAGGAACCATGCTGATTTGTTGCTTGCTGTGTTTCTGAGAACATGAGGGAGAACGAAAAGGGAAGCAGGCTGGGGTGTGGCTCAGTGGTGGAGCACCTGTCTTCATAAGCATGAGGCCCTGAGCTCCATCCCAACACTGCAAAAAAAGTTTATTGCATTTAGTGACTAATATTAGCTTTTTACTGGTGCAGCAGGACACTATAGAAGACTGTAGAGACTTTGCTTATTTTTTACCTTAGACGTTCATTGGTACTGAATTCTACAAATCGTTGTTTGGTAATCATTGGCCAGACTTGAATATGTACTCATTTTGTAGGACTGCCATAACCAAGACTCACAAACTGGGTGGCTTAAAACAACAGAACTGTACTCTCTCGTAGTTCTGGAGGCTAGAAGCTTAAGTTCCGTGAGCAGGCCCATACTCTCTCTGGAGCCTGTGAAGGAGGGTCCTTCCTTGCTGCGTTCAGCTCTGAGGAGCCCTGTTGTCTCCCCTGGCTTGTGGCAGCAGCATTCCTGTCTTGGTAGCCAGATGCACATAGTCATTTTCAGTCTGTAACTGCCTGTGTGTCCAAATTCTCCTCTTCTTACAAGGACCCCAGTCATGTGCCCTAATCCAGTGTGACCCTTGTGAACTGGTCAAGCAAAGACCCCATTGCCAAATAAGGTGACATTCGCAGGAACCAAAGGTTAGCACAGAGCTTTTTGGGAGACACAATTCAACCCCTAGCAGTCTGTCCTCTGGCCTCCTTGCCATTGCAAAATACATTTAGCTCATACCAATGTCCCCAAAGTTTTTTTTTTGTTGTTCTCAAAGTTTTAACAATTTCAACGGCAATTCTTAAGTCCAAAATCTCATCACCTGAGCCTCTGAAATAAATCAGTGATACAAGAGACCCTCTGTGTGATTTGTCCTGGGGGCAAAACTTCTCTCCATATGCAAACCTAGGAGGCCAGGCAAGTTACCTACTTGCAATGCACAATGTTAGGGTGAGCACAGATAGACATTTCCATTCCAAAGGAGAGAAACAGATGGAAGAGAAAAAGAGTTCACAGGTTTCAAGCCAGTCTGAACCCAGTAGAAAAAATTCAATTTTTTTCACTAGTTTCTAAAGTTTTGTTTTTTTTTTTTAATTTTGTTTTTGAAGCAGGCTCTCATTCTGTAGCCTAGATTGGCCTTGACCTCAGTGCTCTTGCATTGGCCTCTTGGGTGCAGAACTGCAGGTGAGTTTTAAATGAGCTCGGCAAGAGAAATGGACATGAACATCAAACAGAGCCTTGGATGGAGGTGCAGGATGGCCGAGAGTTTACTAAGAGAGTACTTCTAAGGGAGAGTCTCTCTCACCCCAACTTTAGCGACATTTTTGTTTAGATAGGTACCATTTGTTTCATCTGTTTTCCTGTTGTCTTGTAAAAGTATCCTAATGTCTACTCTCTGGCCGACATTTCCAGATGGTGTAGACTCTGGGGTGCACACAAGAGTCAGGTCTGGATAATCAGAGCAGCACCTTTAATCAAGATGACATCTGCAAGACGGTCCTTGATCAGGTCAGAACCAATGATGTGCAACCCGTAGTCTGGGCAGGGCTATTCATCAGCAGGATGGTTCTTTTTCTGATGAAGTTAGAACTAGGAGGATGAAGGCCTGAAGCTTCTGGAAGCCATCTTGCTAATCCACAGACACCTGAAAATGAAGCAGAGCTGGAGAAAACCCAGTGCTGTGGTTGAAATAGGTTACCCAAATTTCAGGTGTTGGAAACTTCATTCTCAAATTCATATATTAACTGATTTTGGATGGGGGGGGGGTCTTAGAAAACAATTAAGATTAGATGAGGTCATGAGGTGGGACCTCCATAATGACATTGGTGGCTTTATAAGAAAAGGCAGAGAAGAGACCTGAGCTAGTATGACTGCTGGATTTCCCTGTGATGCCCTCCACGCAATGATGCTACAGGAAGGCATCACTAGACCTGGTGCCAGGCTCTTGGGCTTTTCTGCTTTTGAAACCATAGGAAATATGTTTCTTAGGCAGGGCATGGTGGTTCACACCTGTAAACTCAGCACTCAGGAGGATGAGGCAAGAGGATTGTGATTTGGGCTACATAGAAAGTTTGAAGCCAGCCTAAACTACACAGTGAGGCCCTGTCTCAAAAAAAACAAAACACAAAAGTAAGGTAAAATAAATGACCAATCTCAGGTAGTCATAGCAACAGGAAATGACTAAGACAGCAGTTCTGACAGCATCATTTAGGCCTCTAAATCCAGCTGTCCCTAAGGCAGGACTTTCCTGGATTATTCTGTTGTGCTTAACCAGTGCGATGAAGGTGTTGTCCTTTCAGCCATTTCCATCTAAAAGAATCCAAAGTGGCCGATGGTCCCAGAATAAAGGCACCTTGATTCTAGTGGGAAAAGCCTAAGAGTTGAGGTACATCCACTGTCATTCCATCCATGACTAAGGGATCTGGCCTGAGTTCAAACCCCAGTACCACCCAAAAGAATTTCTACTGGGCGGTTACTTACTCAGCTTTGCTGTGCTCTGGTTTCTTGTTGTACAAAAGAGGCTGAACTGAGTAATTTTCATATGGCCCCCAACCTCTTCTACAATTAAGCTAATGTGATACACTGTCTATACTGAGAATTTCAATTTAGGTATTCATAAGATTTGTCTGAGCAAATAAAGACTCTGTGCTCCTTTGAGTTAGAAAGACTCATCCTTGCTATAATGTTTGTGATTCCTTCTGGATCTTACTAAGGACTGGCTCTTCAAACCCAAAATATGACCACTGGGGTGATGTGTCATGTAGTTCCAGGGGGTGGTGGGGAATTACCCCACACACATGGTTCTAAGGGTAGTTTCTAATCCCCGGTACTCCTTGAGAGCAACTAGTGGAGAAGAAGCATGCCCCCAGAGTGTCCCTGGCTTCCTGGCTGTGACGCTCTGCTGTCCCACACAAACCACTCCGCCAGGCCAGGACAAGTTGTCCCACACAAACCTCAAAGCTATGGGTCCACCTGCTTGTGCATGGGAACCTCTGAAACCATACACCAAAAGAAACCAGGGACTCAAGCTGAGTGCTTGTTTAAGCTACAACCTGAATATACCTGCTGATAGGATATGCCACTTGAGATTGGGACTGTCCCCTAGTCATAGGATTTATAGTCATTTTATCACCAACTAAGCCAGCGCAGCAAGGTGGTGTCTTTGAAAGCAATAGCACTACTGTCAACGTACTTTAAAATGTCATTGACCACCCATATCTGTGGGCTCTGTATTTGATGAGTCAACCAACTGAAAATCAAAAATATTGGGAAGTAAAATTTTGTCTTTACTGAACATGTACTGACTTTTTTTTTTGTCATTTTGACTCTTTAAATAGCACAGAACAAGGTTTTACATGGCGTTTCCGTTGCCTTGGGTGTCAGAGGCAATCTAGACCTGATTTAAAGTACACAGAGGACATGCATAGGTTCTGTGCAAACACTGTGCCATTTTTCATAAGGGACTTGAGTATTCTGACTTTGATACTTCTGGGAGTCCTGGAACCAACTCCCCACAGATGACAAGGGACAATTGTACATGGTGGTGACAGAAAATGCTGGGAAGATAAAGTCATCGCTCTGAACCCAGCCAGGATAGGGCAAAGCAAGTGAGGCAGATAGACTGAAAGACTGGGGCAATGTCCAGCATATGCGTGGCCCCTGGAGTGTGGCCTCCTTAAAATTTCCACCCAGCTTGCCTGGCCCTGCTTGCAGACCCCTGCACTCACTGAGCACAGCCTCCTAAGCTTTGGCTGTTTTGAATCATTGTAACCCAGCAGTTATTCCCCAGAGCAAAGTCTGGCTTTGCTACTGTCTCCACAGTGAGAAAACCTATCCTAAGGAAACTTTAGACTGAGATAGACAACAAAAGGAAAAAACAATTTATGACTAGAACACAGAAAACAAGTTCTTACAAAATTCTTTTTGTGGGACAAACACAGAGATGAGATAGAAAACATGTTTTAAAGGATTTTGACAGATAAAGTAGACATAAGGGTGTCTAATTTGCTTTGTGGGCTTACTGTTTAGTTGCTGGCAATCTGGAATGAAGTAGTTTTACTAATTAATTAATGATAGCATCTCTCTATGTAGACCATGGTAGTGTGGAACTCAAGATCCTCACGTATTGGCCTCCCCAAGAGTTGGGGTTACAGGCATGTGCGACTGTGCCCAACATGGGAATGCAGTTTGACTATGTCAAACCCTCTGAGACACAAGACACCTTGTTGTCTTAGCACTGTTTATAATCCTCTGAGGGACTTTGTGCACTGTAAATGGCTGTGCACCCTTGTGTAAGATCCATCCTGGGCTAAAGAAAGGCTCTTAGTCTCAAAACTCCTCTTTTTAAAAAAGATGATGAAATATGCTTTTTTTTTTAGCCAGGAGATTGAATTTTTTCTCATGACACATTTGCCATCTCTCTGTAAGGGCCTGTTTGCTCTACAGGGTGCGAGATCTGCCATGCCAGTGCCTACCATGAGGAAACACGGCCCTTGAGAACCAATCAGCCACACACAGTGTGACAGTAACCAATGTGGAGTTAGGTGGAACTCGAAATCCTCCTGCCTCAGTCTCCTGAGTGCTAGGATTGCAAGCAGGTACCACCATGCTCAGCTTCAAAAACTTTAAAAAAGCAGAAAACAAAATCCCAATTTACCATATAATACATACTAGAGAAATATACCTAACTTTTAAGCTACACGATGGTATTTTTTCTTAACTGAATTCCAATTGTTATCACCATCATCAGTTGGGGTTTTTCTGTGAGGCTAAAGTGAAAACTCACTGTATTTAAAATGAGATGGCTGTGGGGAAGATTAGAAGCGTCTGCAGGTTGCACACCGTGGCTACTGCGCCTTCAGGGCGTGTTCCTGACTGCTTGGCCCCGACACAGTGTGAACACAGCACAGCCTGACCCCACAAGGGACAGCACGAGCTACAGGAGAAAAGCTCCCAGAGGACTCTGAGTGCAGCACACTGAAAAAAATCAGTGTGACTGCGGCTTGTGCAGTCACAAGGCTCCTTGGCTCTGGTTCCTCTGCTGTCCACCCCACAGTCAGCCTCAAGCCCTTACCATTCAGGCATCGAACCCTTGGGAATCTGGCTCCTGCCTTAAGCGAGGGGGCGGCCAGGCTGCAGTGAAGTGTTTATACTGGTCCACTCTCCTGGGTCTCCTTGTCCCCTTCCAGCCCACCCTGCCTTACTTCTGCAAAAGAGGCTGTTCTCAGGGACCAGTCCCATGTTGATTCCCCAGTCAGCAGCCCACTGAGCACCAGGGGGGCAGGTGTCTGGGGAGAGCCCAGGGCTTGCTTGTCCAGGCACAGTGACAGGGCTCAATTGGGCAGACACACATTCCTAGCACCACAGTCCCCTCTCCCTCATTCATTCTTTCATTTATTCTCTCCCTTATTCATCTCTCTCCCTCCCTCTCAGAACCCCTGCTTGGCTCTGCCACTTGAGCCCCACCCCCAGATCTTTTGTTTTGGTTTGGTTTTCAGAGGGCTCTCATACTAACATTGCTTTCACTATCTTCCCACCTCTGCCTCCCAAGTAGCTGAAATTACAGGTGGTGCCACCACTGCCTGGTTTTTCTCCCTGTTTTTTGGAGACAGGATCTCCTTACTTAGCCCAATCTGGCACTGAACTCCCTATGTGGTCCAGGCTGGTCTCAAACTCAGGACCTTCTTCTTTAGCCTACCCAGGGCTGGGATATTTGCAGCCTCTTCCCCACCTCTACCCACAGAAGTCTCTCAAGATTAGGTCACGTTCCTGCTAAGGACCGCCTTGCCTTCCTCCAGTAGCAGGCCTCAGGGACCTGCTGCACCTGCCCAAGTCCCTCCAACGCCTGGCAAGAGCGCTGCACCCGCCAGGGGCCTCCCGAACCAGCACCGCATGCCTTCCCTCCTCCTCCCCCACCCCTTTCTGCATTGCTGATTGAGGTCTGGGGCAATCCCAATTTTCTCCCAAGGTTATTATAATTTTACAAATCAAAATACACGAATATTAAAGGATAGTTAACCCATGCAGTCACACACTTATAGCTGACAGTCACACCGTGTATTTGACTTAAACCCTCTTTTCAAGTGGAGGCAGGGGTTGGATAGGCTGATTCTCTTTGTGTCGTCTCTCCTGGATCCTTCTACAGGAAAGGTCACTGAATCACCTGGGAGAAGGTATCAGGACCCCACGCGGCTGCGCTCCCTGTCCGTCCACTTCGGCTCCTGGAGGAATCACGCAGCGTTAACAAGTCCCGCGGATGTTCATCCTCCAGACACACGGGGGCGAAACAGCGCAGCAGCTGCCGAAAAGGCGGCGGGGTGGCTCTCTTGCCGTCGGGAGGTCTACGTACTCACGCACTCCAACCCGGAAGTGCGGCGTCACGTGGCGCGCTCTAGCCGCTGCCTTGGAAACGCGGAGCGCGGTCTCCCGGCCAGGCTGCACTGGGGCAGGACTTCGGGCCTGGGGCGACACTCGCTTGGGGACACGATGCTGTGCGCCCGAAGGCTGGGCAGCCTCGGAGCCGGGGTAGCGGCTCTGCGGCCGGGGCGAGCAGGCCGGTGCAGCCACGGAGCCCGGGGTCGGGCCCGAGGAGTCAGCACCAGCTGGTCCCCGGTGGGCGCCGCCTTCAACGTCAAGCCCCAGGGCCACCGCCTGGACCTGTTCGGCGAGCGCGGGGTGAGCAGCGCCGAAACGGCCGGCGGGGGTCCGGGCAAGGTCGTCGGGTCTGGGAGGAGCAGGGCAGCGAACACGTGGTGCACAGGGAGTGGTGTCTGCGTTCTCGGTGTCCTAGTCTGTCACCTCCTGTTTGCCGGGCTGAGGTAAAAGTGCCGCTTCTGGAGCCGCGTGCTCCACGTGAACGTCACGTGGCGGTTTCGGCGCGGGCCCCGCCCTCCCGCGGAAATCCACTCTGCATCAGCCCTGCGTGGTCCGTAGTCCTCCTGGCAGCATCAGGCTGTCTTGTTGAAGGATAATTATTCCATGGGAATGCCATCACTCCTGAGTCCATCATTTCAAAGCTTAGGGCTGTTTTGTTTCTCTTCAAACAAATCCCCGTTGAGGTGTCAGATTTCCTAACGTGCCTTGGAGTTCTTTTCTCACCTCCTTACTTCTGCATCCAGCCTGCCTGTCACAGCACTCTAGTGATGGGATGAATGAGCGGGAATGAATAGAAGGGGAAAGAAAGGCAAGTTGGGAAGGGATTTCCCTCACATCTATCTTTCGCACTTTAGATTAAGGGTTACTTTGAGTTTTTGCCCTTTAAATTTTCCTCATTGTACCATTGCCTGCCTTATAAAGGGATAGCTTGCAGAGAGCTTAATGGTGTGTTTTAGCCCATCATTAGCTTTGTCTATGGCTTGAGAATTCTTATGCCAACTCTCAGAAGGAGTTTGATGGTGGTGTGGCGTAGCTGGCCTTAGGGAACTGCCTGAAAGTGCTGAGCAGAAGGACGTGAAGTGGGTAGATGAAATACAACTAATTTAAGCCTTCTTGCCTTTTCTTTATGTATCATCATTTTAGGTATTTAAGGAAGGTTTTCACATTTGTGTGTTGGCTTTTGCCTCAAAAAATATATAAGGTTTCTGTAGTTTCTTTAGTGTTACCTTGACTGGTAGTCCAAGAGTTCACAAGAACAACATGGGGACGTGGTGTGGGATATGGGAAGAGGAAAGTCTGTTCTTGGATCAAATTCAATTAGTGTAGAAAGTTACATTTATTTTTGGTTCTGAGTCTTCTCTGCCCCAACTGTCTTTCCTTCAACTCCTTAACGTTTTTGAAGAGAATTTGGCATCTTAATGTTTTACATCCCTTCTTGTGGAAACAGAGGCCTCACTAGGCCTGAAAGTGTCACCTGTTGGTGTTTCCAAACATCTCAGAGTTAAGCATCTGTCCCAGTGATATGTCTCCTTCATTGAATTCCCCACGAGTTAGACAGTGGGCTAAGAATAGCTGGTTAAAAAGTGACGGGCAGGTCACTCTGGAGAGAAGACTTAATACAGAGAGATTTCAGTTAAGAAGTATGGAAAAGGATGGACTTCAGAGAAGTCCAAAGCAGGGGCAAGTTGGCTTTTTCACTATTTAGTGACCTCAGTGTGTTTTTGCTAACCTCTTAAAGCATTATGATGAATACCTGTAATCCCAGCACTCCAAAGGTGGAGGCAGGAGGATTAAGAGTTGCAGGCAGCCTGAACTACATAGTGACACTCAGTCTCAAAGAAAAAAACTCCAAAGGAAACAATTCCATATCTGTAAAAGTGAATGACGCTTCTTGTTCTAGGATTGTGTGGTTTAAATGAGAGCCCAGCTCCCATGTAAAGTCCATATAGCACACTTCCTGGCATTCACATGCTAAATGTTTGGGTTTTTCCTTACCTTCCTACAGGCTCTGACAAGTGTAATTGAAGTGTATGAAAAGATGGTCATTTTTTACCAAAATATTGCCTTTGGAAAATGTAAAATTTGCTGCCAGTTTCAGCTTATGACTTGATTTAATGTATTGATTAAGTTTTTCTAAAGTACCTCTGTGCTTGATAAACAAGTCCTCCTCCTGTTTTGTGGCTGTGGAGTGACTGGCGTTAGATACTGAGACGTTGCTCTAGGTTAGGCCTGGTCCCAAAGTGCAGTAACATGCTTCATAAGTTAGCGTCTGTATCCATGCGGTGAGATATGTAGTCATTCTCTGTACCAGATGAAGAGATTCAAGCCTAGGAGAGAAGTAAATGAGTATTGCTAACATCTGTTAAGCTCTGTATGTGCCAGGCACTGTTACAGTTTTTACATGTGTTATTTAACCTAATCCTTCAGCCACTGTATGGTGGAATTAGACTCTGCACTGGGACAGAGCTGGATTTTGAGCCTGTTGTCATTTCAGTCTCGTCTTTTGAAAGGTAAGTAAAAATTGAAGAAAAATTAAGTTCTTAAATCAACTTTAGTCTAATTTATGTGGAGTGATACAGGGAGTATAAGATGATTTCCATGGTCACAGGTATAACCGTGATGCACCAATGACAACAAAGATTTCCTTTATGAAACATATTTTTAGTTGATACAAAAATCATACTTGTGGTTATAAACTTGACATACTCTTTGGATTTAAGGGTCTTTTTGGAGTTCCTGAACTCTGTGCCCCTGAAGGATTTCGCATTGCTCAAGAAGAAGCCTTGAGAAAGACAGAACAGCTGGTGGAGCGTGTGTGTTCCATCCCCCCAGGGATGCAGACAGTGCTCATCTTTGATGAGCTCTCTGATGCGTTGTGCAGAGTGGCCGACCTGGTAAGGCTCCTTGTTCCAGAACCGGAACTGCTTCTCCTTCCAGCTGGTGACAGGAAAAGAAGTTTAACCTTCATTGTTTAACATGAATATTAGACAGTAGGGTTAAAAATGCCTGCAATGACTTGACACGTGTCGGGAATAAGTTGCCATTTGAAGTATGCCATTAGGAATGGGAAAAAGGAATAGGGATAGGTAAGTATGGAGAACTTGTACTTTAGTTTGTATGTGTAATAAAACACATGTAATGTGTAATAAAAAAATGATTACTAATACAACAAAGATTCTTTGTTTGCAAAGGTCCTTCAATCACCAAAGCTTAGTGGTACTGGGTTTTGAACATTTTATGTGTACATTGATACCAAAATTTCTTCTTTTTTTCCCCCGTTTTTGTTTTGTTTTATTTTGTTTTTTCTGAGACAGGCTCTTTCTTTGTTACTAGGTTTGCCTCAAACTTTCAATCCTCTTGCCTCAGCCTGTTAAGTGCTAGGATTGCAGGTATACACCACCATGTGTGGCTTCAAAATTTCTCTTTTTCCATAAGAAGAATAATAAAGTTGATATAAACCTCTTTAGGAATGCCTTTTATCAAACTGATCACATTAAAAAAATTTTTTTCTGGTGGTACTGGGGTTTGAACTTGGAGATTCATGCTTGCTAAAAAACCTAAAACTATAGTTTAGAGAGGAAATAGAAGTATACCTGGTTTCTCCATCAACTACGAAACCCACTGCTGGGACAAAAGCACAGTTTTCTACCATCTGCAGAGAGCCAGGTGTCTGTGACTCACATGACTGTGTAGTATTGAACTGCGTAGCTTGTTCCCTCACACTCATCCAGCGTCCAGTGCCTGCTGTGTGCCACGCACTGTTCTAGGTACAGGGAGCACAGTCAGGAATAGAGGAGTCATCATGTTTGCCCAACGGAGTTCATATCCTGCTATTGACTGGTTTTAGCTCTCAGGAGGCAGTACACCCCGTGGTAGCTTCACCTGGATTAACTGATTGAATTCCCTGACCTCAGGCAACTGGTAATCTGTTCTACATCCCCATACTTCTGTTTTTCTAGAAGGTCATGAAAATGGAATCAGATACGCCTTTGAGTGTTTTTTTTTGTTTGTTTGGTTGGTTTTTTTTTGGTGTACTGGGGTTTGATCTCAGAGCCTCAGGCTTGCTAGGCAAGCACTTTACTACTTGAGGCACTCCACCAGCCCCTCATATATGCCTTTGAGACTGACTCCTTTCACTCAGCCTCTACCTTCCTGTCTTTGTACTTTTTCTTCTTTCAGAAAATTTTCTTTTATACTTGAGTTGAGTGGTAATACCTTTCAGATGATAATACATTCACTATGTATTCCTGTTTGTTTGTTTGTTTTTTAATTAAAGAAAACTGATAAAATAGCTTAAACTTCCCAGGAGTGATGTTTGGTCCCTGGGTGGTCAGTTCTTAGTTTCCCCAGTGTTTGTGCTGTCCCTTGGTGTGTACATAGGAAATGCCTCTTCAGTGACAGGGCCCAGGAGCTCTGACATCTAGAAAGGAAAATGTGTGAAACTGGATTTTACTTTTGCATAACCAAAGATTGGTCTGGCGGTGAGAATCCTGGAAGTGACTTCATTTGCTGCCTAGCTTCCAGTTAATGAAGCGGTGTTATAGAACTTTTGAGGCTTTAAAAAAAATGTTTGTGATGTGTAACAGCATCTCATTTTAAAGCTGGATGTGGTAGTGCATGCCTATAATCCCAGTACTTGGGCAGCTGAGGCAGGGGGACTGAGTTTGAGAATGGTTTGAAGCCAGCCCAGGCAAATAATTTGAAAGAACCTAGCTTGAAAAACCTATCACAGAAAAGGACTAGTGGAATGGCCCAACTGGTAGAGTGCCTGCCTAGCAAGCATGAGGCCCTTACTTAGTTCAAATTCCAGAACTGCAAAATAAATAAATAAATAAACCCTACATTGTATATGTTTAACTATGTAAAAATTACAGTAAAATAATTTTTAAGAAACTGATTTTTATGTGTAGTTCTGCAGGTAAACTAATACAAACTTTTTTTCATTTTTGATCAACATCCCATTGTAAGGCAATAGTGTTATCAACCATTTCTTGGGAAACAGTCATTTTTTAATACAGTTTTTCTCTAATAGAACTGTTTTCAAATAGACTTTTAAAATGAACACTGGTATCTTGAGTTTGAACATTGATTATAATTTCCACAACATGCACATTTGTAATTTATAAAATACTGGGCGAATTTTACATAGTTCGTTGATCACAGTGCCTTAGTACATTATCCTGATGCTATTGTTACAATAAATGTGTCAAACTATGGACCAAAGTGTTTTTACATTAGAAGCTATTTGATAATAAAATCAGGAAATGTTACCTTGTGGTGAATTTTGTTTTGCTTTTGTTCTTATTTTTTGCGAAAGGGTCTCACTGTGTAGCCCAGGCTGACCTCAAATTCATGATCCTCCTGCCTCAGCCTCCTGAGTTCTGGGATTAGAAGGGTGCACCACTACACCCAGCTCCCTGTGGTGATTTCATTTTGTGTTATAGTTACACATCTTCTGGAGACTAAAGAAAATACATAGTGTTGCATAGTTACCCTGCATTTTACCTATGCTTTGCAATTAGCATGAAAACTAGTTTTACACAGTTTCATTTTTTAGAAAAGAGTTCATGCTCAGTTTGATTCAAGTCCTTATACAGCAGCTGCAGTATGGCTGTGTTCTGTACCCGATGGAGCCAGGAGTTCATATTTTATGAAAAAGACTGTAAAGAGAGTTGCCTTTGCTTTTTGTACAAAGCCTAGAATGTGGTTAAATTGGTTTTGAAATTATACTCCGTTTCAGTTTTTTAAAAATGCCTCTGAGTTATTCTCTGGGGTCCCGTTAACATGGGAGAACCATATTCCCACTTGAATTACAAACTTTTAAAATACTTGAAACCAGGGTCTGCTTATTGCAACCATAGAATTGTTCATTTGAAGGAGAAAAACTTTTCTAAAATTTAAAGTTCATGAAAGTTTTCTTTGTAATGAAACAGACGTGACTCCAAGGAATAGCAGTATAGTAAATGCTGGAAAGAGGGCATTTGGCCTTACCAGCCAAGGGGAAATGTAATAATGGAAATGCACGGGGCAGGCCCATTGGCACCTTGTCCACCAAATTCCCTTTTGGTTTTGTCTTTCCCCTTTACTAGGCTGATTTTGTGAAAATCGCACACCCTGAGCCCTCCTTCAGAATGGCTGCTGAAGAAGCCTGTAGAAGTATTGGCACCATGGTAGAAAAGTATGTGCTGTCCCGCCTGGTCAGGAGGGGTGTGAGACTGCCAGCCTGCTGCTGGGGGTTGGGTGGGGGGTAGGGAAGGTGGGTGGGCTCGGCAGCAGGTCACCTCCAGCACTCTCTCCTCTGGGTTCCTTTCCCTATCAGCATATGGGATACTCAGTCTCTGCCTCTTACAGTTGCAGCGATAAGTGTACAGTGCTTCTAACGCACCAGGCACATAGCAGACACCTGGGAACTCTCATCACTGTCACCGTGGTTTGTGGTGAGGAAGGGCTCTTTAGTGTCCTCATGGCAAGTTGGAGTCCCGAGGCTCTCACAGGATTCAATTGCAGTGGCCTAGATGGCTGTGAGCTGCAGGCCTCGCAGTCCCTGTTGGGTTAGGGTGGTGGTGGGGGGGGAACTTGGGGACTGTAAAACAGAGGGCTGAGGCAGACTGCAGGCAGAGGCTGTGATGAAGTGAATTATTTTAAAGTGATTTTAAAACTGAAATGTCTTAAAGCCTCTTGTGAGAGCTCCAGAGTGCTTGTTAAAATAATGTAACTGGACAGTATTGTTCCAAGCACTAGATGCATAACACTCTGCCAGACAGTTTAGAGCTAGGAAGAGCCCCTTGGCCCGCCTGCCATAAATTTATGATGGGAAAATTGGGGCCAGGCAGCCTAGTAAGACTGTTTGTAAACCAGAAGTTGGAGAAGGAGGTGGCTTCTTTAGCTGGACATGCTTCTGGGAGGACCTCACACCTCAGGATGTATGGCAAGGACGAGCACTTTTAATTTGGAGGGGGGGTCATTGGAGAGCCACAATTAGTAGTGAAGTGGTATAGAGTCTATCCATGACCTTCACTCCCCAAAGAGAGCATTTGAGTCCCCAGAGCTTTGCTGCTGTCTCTGAGCACTGTGACTCGGTTTTCCCTTTAACTGAATCATAGCTAACTACTCTTGTTGGTTTGAAAACTCAGGATGATTTCAAGTGCATGTGTGGAATTGGGGAAAAAGCCTAAAATTTGGTGTAATTTAGGTTTAATGGCAAATATAGATTATAAATTTATCCCAGGAGTTTTCCTTATAAAATCTGGCATGGGAGACATGCTTAAAGTTCCATGGGGCTGAGCTCAGACCACCTCTAACCTGCTGTCCTCTACACAGGAGTGACTCAAGGGGGAGAGGTCCAGTAAGAAGTAGGCAGCAGGCTTCCTGATTCCTGGGAACAGGCAGTGGGACAGGTGGCATGGCCATGCCCGCTGAGTGTCTTTGATCGGCAGTGACTGCCTTGGTTCCACGGGTATTTGGGAAGGCCCATGAGAGTGGTGGCAAAAAAACCCCTTCAATTTATATAAAAACCTTTGGTTATTTTGGGGGGGAGCTGGTCTATCTTGGAGTCCTAGGGTGGGAGTCTGTGGATGGTGTTATAACCTTGTCTGTCCCTGAGCATCCACCAGGCAGGATCCCTGCTCACTAGTGATCTCTGAGGATGCAGAGGACTTGCTGAGGCCAGGGTTTGGGTGGTGGACTCTGCTCTCCAGCTTTGGCTCAGGGCAAGCAGCTGCAGCTGTGCAGGCACCAGTTCATTGGGGTGAAGCATATACATGCGATCTCATTCAATCCCTGGCAACCTGAGATCCAAAGAATGTGTGTGAGGTCACTGTGCAGCAGTTGGGCTTGCATGTGGGTATGGTACCACAGCCCATTTCCTGAGCTCTCCTGTCCACCATGGGCCTGCCACTCTCAGCCCAGGTTCCAGGGTGCTGAGTCCAAGGCTGGGACACCATCGTGTTGGTTCAGCCTCCCTACTATCCTCCTTTCCTCCTATTAAAAATATGACTAGCTGCTGCTGACATCTTGCTGAGGGGACCTGGTCCTCCATGAAATTGCCACTTTCCGTATTCTTCTCCCTCCCTTTTCCCTGTCTCTTTTCATGCCCCAGCTATGTGACTATACACTTGCTGCCTTCCTGCACAGTTAGGACCTCTAGCACTTTGCCTAACAGACTGCCTGTCCCTGTATCAGGAATTGAGCTTCTAAGCATGGCTGTGTTAGTCTTGATCCAAAAGAAGAAACAAAAAGCTCCCCTGGCTGTAAAGAATAAGGTATTAGAAATCCTTTATTTTCACTTTCATTTAAAATTTTTCTAGGTTGAACACAAATGTGGAATTATATCAGAGCCTGCAGAAATTGCTAGCTGATAAGAAACTTGTGGAATCCCTGGATGCGGAAACCAGGTACTCATGGCTCCTTGTGACTGTGGTTCTAGGGTGAGGCTGGGAGTCTTTGCCTCTAGCCCCCCTGGGCCTGCACTGTTCTCCCTGGGTATCTGCAGGACTCCTGCTCTGACATATTGTCTTCTCTGCACACCAGGTCGGGTTCCATCCTCTCATCCTGCTGTGATTTTCTTCACAGCCCTAATCACTCCAACAAGGCCTTATCTGTTGTCTTGCTGTCTTGTCTGAGTGCCCTGAGCACCTTAGCTGCCCTCAGCACCTATACTTAGGAAGTGTTAGCCAGTAGTGGCCCCTGCTGAGCAGCTAACCATTACAGGCATCTTTATGCTCAAATCCCATAATGCAGAATCAGGAGCTGGAAGCAGAGTGGTCTGTTTGCTTGGTAGGTATCTAGAGCCTTGCAGTGATTCACGTGGATTCATTTGATTACATTTGTTCATCTGAAAGGCAAGGCCTGATTGCCAAGTCAGTACATAGGCACATTTGACATATACACTTGGATACCTTGCTCCTTTGCTCAAATTTGTTTATAAAATAGTGCAGTAATGTTTGCTGTTTGTTGGCTCATGGTTCTTATGTAATAGCATGGAGGTTATTTTTTCTCACCTATTTGTACCTGTTTAACTGCTTTTTGTTTATGGAACATTTTCCTTCACTGCCTAGTTCCCTTCACTGCCTAGTTTTCTCTTCCTCTTCCTTCTCCTGGCTGTCTTCATAAGTGTCTTGTGTCCCTAAAAGAACTCCACAGTGGCCACTTGCTAATGGGATCTTGCTATTGATTGAGTCCCATGCAACCTGAGTGCCACGCTGAGGCTCAGAGATTGGGGTCATACTTCCACCTGGCTAGCAGGTATGCAGGTGCCTGGTATTGCTTCCTCTCATTGGTTCTGATGCTCAGTGTATTACTGCAGCTATTTGTGTCATTAGGATTCTTTGTTTCATTGTAATTTGAAACTTGAGCATTCTGTTGTCTTCATTAGAAAAGCAAGTAAAAGTTGAATGCCTTGAAAATTGAATGTTAATGGTTTAATCGTAATTAATACGATTAATGGTTTATCGTAAGTAATAAAAAATATTAAAAATAATGTTATTCCTGATCTGATTTTACTAAAGATTGACATTTCCATGTTTACCGTATAAAAATTGTAGTAGACTAGCAGACCATATTAGGTACAAAGGACTTGTACTAAAAGGACACTCTACATTTTTAGTTGTCACTAAAAACACCAGTAGGAACTTTTGAATAACAAAATGATAAATATATTGAGAATTTTAAGCTAGGTGAAGTACCAATAGTTTCGAAAGGAAAAGGTTTGGAAATGAGAGAAGCTAGAATTTGAAGTAATAATGAATTATCACAGTACTTGTATATCAAGAGTCTTGGCTTGCACCCAGAAAGAGCTATACGTTAGCACCTTGCTGAAACAAAGAATGTAGATGTAATTAAGTACCTTGGGATAAGTTAGTGTTTAGAAGTGATTGGAGCTCATCATCATATTAGACACGTTAGTCCTATGAAATCTCACATTTTTCTCAGAAGGGCCCCACTGGTCCATAAGTTTGGATGTATGATTTATTGTTTGCTCCCCTTGGAGAATCCCAGCCATAATGAAACCTGTTTAACTTGGGGTTTTCTAAAACCATATATTCTACATGCAACAGACACTCTCTAGACAGTAAATGGAAGGGTGATTCCTGTTTCATTGGCAACAAAAGCTGTGATGTGCCTTGGAATAAACTCTGGAAGGCAGAGTGCAGAACCTGAATGAACACACACACACATAGAGTAGGAATAGGAAACAGGAAAATTGCCTAAGATGGAGAAACACTGTATTCTTATACAAAAAGAAGAAAGCTCAAATATGTTCTGTTGGCTTAATGCTATCAAGTCTATACCTGTAGAAGTGGTTTTTTGTTACTTAAAATGATTTTGGAGTCATAAAGCATAAGTATGTCACAATGGGCAAGAGAAATACAGTAGGGGAAGTACCCAAGGGACCTAGACAGTAAAAGATACTGTACGGAGAGCATTATACCTAAGCCACAATAGCCAAGTAGATCAATGAAAGAATGGAGGAATTTCAGCCACAGCTGCAGATCCATGTAAGACTGTATTTAGGATGTGGTAGAAGTGTCGTTTCACATCCATAGGAAAAAGACTTTCTTTTTAGTAAATGACGCTGGGCCAGTGGACAAGAATTTGGGGAAGGAAAAACAGGTTGGTTAAAGATTTAAATATTTTTCAAAAAGAAATCATAAAAGCATTGGTAATCTTGGAATGTGAAAGGTCTTTCTTGACTTTGGATCAAAAAGGAAAGCTTAATGCCAAATAGGATACCTCGATACCCAAAGGGAAAGCTTGCTTACTTGATTACATAAAACTTGGAAATTTTTTTTTTTTTTTTTTTTTCATTTTTCTTTTATTATTCATATGTGCATACAAGGCTTGGTTCATTTCTCCCCCCTGCCCCCACCCCCTCCCTTA